GACTGGAAGGGGCGACGAACTCGTCCAAGTCGATCCCGTCTGCAATACGGGTGGCAGCAGCGATGAAAGTCTCCATGAAATCTTGAAAGTTGTGCTTCCTGGTATTGTCAACTTGGATGGCGGCCAGCTTCTCTTCTCGCGCCTCCTTGCAATGGACGCGGACCAGAGACAGAGCCACATCAGCGCCACACCGAGCAGAAGACTTCTTCCACTCCTGCACTCGGCCAGGGATTCCGTTAAGTCGAGTCATCAGAGACTCGAGATCGTTTTGGAGCGTAGCCTCTGGCCAAAGTGCCGGGTCGATCCGTGACATGGCAACCTTCAGTCGAGCCAAGTAGTCCACGACGCCGTCAATGCGAGATTCCAGTCGGAGCAGATTCATGGCAGCTTCATCTTTCACGGGAGAGTTGATTAGATCCAAACCTGTTTCGATCCGCCCAGTCTCCTCTTCAAAGTTCTAGCAAAGCTCTGCATACATGATCCAAGGATAAGTCAATTTTCATAGACTGAGTCGACACAAAAAAAACCAGTCGGAACTGAATGTGCACCTTCAAGCTTGATGTACAACTTCTTGGCGAGGCTCCTCAAGTAGCTCTCCAGGTCGTCCCTCCTGCGAGCGATGCCTTCCATCTTCTCGTTCAGGGTGAGGTTCTCCTTCTTCCAACGTGAACACTCCCTGTTGGCTTCATTCAGAGCGGTCTTCAGCTTGGTATTCTCTTCTTCTAAGTGGTCGACCGAAGCCAGCTTCTGTACGGCCAGAGCGGTCTTGTCATCAGCCTCCTTACGGGCAACAGCCAAGTCCTGATCCTTCTTCGCCAGAGCTTCGTTCAGTTTTTCTGCGAAGAAATAATGATTGAATCGGAAATAGCAGAAGGATACTCAAGCCTAAAAGCTAGCCAGTCGACAAAGTCGTCTTACCTGCAGCGCCGTCTCTGACCTTCTGCAGCTCTATTCTGGCCAGCTCCAAATCAAGGTTCAGTTGAATCTTCTGCTTCTCCAACTCAGTATAGCGAGCTACAAGTTCGCAGGATTTCTGTAAAAGAAAAATCAGTCGACATACGTCCAAGATAAGTTGCTTCCGAGTAACTAAGAGACAATGACGACGTTTCTAAGACCACAGCCGAATCAAAAACATTTGACAGTAGTCTCGGGGACTACACCCAGTGGGTGCACTCAGCGTGCCCCCACCGGTTCGACCAAAAAAAACAAAAAGAAAGAGAGAAAAAGTCGCTGCCCGCAGTCGACCGGATACAGTTCCACTCGACCTGGCCCGACCAAACCGAGTGAAGAAATACAGCTACAGCAACACAATGTAAAGACTACAGTCGACTGCCAGCAGTCCAGCGTAGTCTCGGGGACTACACCCAGTGGGTGCACTTAGCGTGCCCCCACTCGTCCAAGGATTGGCAGACACACCCAGTGGGTGTACAGATACAGATACAGATACAAAAGATCTTCGGAAAAGAGACTCTTCAAACAGCATATCATAACAGACCAAGTGTTGAGTCGACTGACCTGGACGTTGCTCTGAAGAGCCGAACTCGCGTCATAGGCTGCTTGGCTGGCCTCTCGATCCATCTTCACTTGCTCCATCATGATCCCCGCCTGGCGTATAGCCTCCTTTGCAGCAGCCGCTTGGTCCTCAGGGATGGGGTACGCAGCAAAAAGAGAAGGTGGATCCGCAGTCGACGCCGAAGGCCGCACGCTCGTCAGAGAAATGGCGAAAGTCACAGAAGCCCGAGTGGTGTCACCACCATCCCGAGCCATGGCCTCAGACGCCAGAGCAGGTTGGGGGGTCTTGTCAGCCGACGACCTCTTGTTCCTCCTCATTCTCAGCGGTTCGTTGTCATCGTCATCCGGAAGGTCGATAACATGAGGAGGGGCTGCAAGAGAAACATTCAATCGACCGGAGTTGCAGTAAAAGATCAGTCGACTCAAAGCAGAACGTCAGTAATCATACCAGGGTTGGAGGTAACAGCATCCTCCATCTCTTGGTCGTCGTCCTTGGCGGAGACCTCAGAAGTAGCAGCGCTGCAAATCTCGAAAGTCAGTTAGTTGGCTCAATGAATCGACCAAGGATCTGTCCATGGTCGACGAAGGAAAGCAAGTTTTATTATTACCCAGAAATGGTAGGGACAGCTATCTTCATCTTGGGCAGAGCCTTGGGCGGCTTGGACAGCGTCGTGCGTGGGTGCTTGGGAACCTTCCCAGTCGGCGTAGGAGAAGAGGTCCGAGGGCGTTTCGACAACTGCCCAACAGAAGCAGTCGCCTTGCCACGTTCCCGCGTCGGGTCGTGTGTGTGCTTGGACCGCCCCTCTAGGCGAGGGGGTTCGACCTCCTCCTCCTCCTCTTCGCTGGAGTCGACGTTGTCGTCTCCCTCTCCTTCACCATCGGACTCCCACTCGCCTTGGTCGTCCCCGCTCTCACGTTCGCTCGCCTCCCCTTCCTCAGTTGGCTCCTGAGCCCCGTTGGGCGTCGAGTACATCTCGGTGGTCGCCTGGAAAGCAATAGACAGGACGAAAGTCAATCGACCAACTCAAAGAAGACCAATGCAGAAAACAAGATTTCAGTCGGGAGCATAAAGACATACCTGGTCCACTTCATACGAGTTGTCGAGTGGAGTTACCCTCCTGGCTCCTCGGGGGTTGTCTCTGTTCCCCGTGATGCTCGACAGCCACCCCTCCAGCATCTCGTCGGTGACCTCCTCCGCGTGGATCCGAGTGGTGTCATCGAGACCCGAGTACAACCACATCGGGTGGTCACGGGCCTGGAGCGGTTGGATGCGCCTCTGGAGGAAGACCTCCAGCAGGTCCATCCCAGTCACACCCTCACGGACAAGCTCGACCACTCGACCGGCCAACACTTTGACTTGGGCCCTTTCCTCCGGCGTCACTTTCAGAGAAGCGGATTTTTCAGCTCGGCCGAGGGAGAAAGGAGGAAGATCAGTCGACTTTCCTGGGGTCGCCTGGTCCTGACAGTAGAACCAGGTCGCCTGCCAACCACGGACCTACTCCGGGAAAGTAATGGATGGAAAACAGCTCTTCCCCCTCGTCTGGATCGCCAAGCCCCCGCACAACTGGATCACCTGCGTCCTCTCGTCACTCGACTTGGCCTTCTTGACCGATTGAGAACAGCAGGTAAAGATGTGCTTGAAAAGTCCCCAATGGGGGCGGCAACCCAAGAAAGCCTCACACATGGAAATGAAAGCGGCAAGGTATACAATGGAGTTGGGAGTAAAGTGGTGGAGCTGCGCTCCGAAGAAGTTCAAGAAGCTCCGGAAAAAAGGATGGGGCGGCAGAGAAAACCCTCGGTCGATGTGGGTGGCTAGGAGCACACACTCACCGTCGCGGGGTTAAGGTTCGATCTCTCCCTCCGGAAGACGCGCGGCTTCGTGGGGAATGACTCCCCCCTCGACCATGTCGTCGAGATCCTCTTGCCGGAGCACCGACGGCATCCAGTCGCCCTGGATCTAACCTTTGGGCAGAGCGGTCCTAGAGGAAGATCCGCCCCGAGCAGACCTCTTCCCCTTCCCCGCCGCCGCCGCCTTCTTCGCGCGCTCCAGAGCAGTCGTCTTGCCCTTCACCATCGTCGCCGGCGAAATCTCGAACGGGCTTGCGGCGCTAGGGTGAGAACGGAGGTGGCGGAAGGACTTGCGAAGGGAGAGAGGAAGAAGAAAGCAGAAGGGAGCGCACTGTTTGGAAACCCCGAGCCGACAACTTATAAGGGGCCGCTTCCGAGTGGCTGACTGGTAGGCCCAGGCTATCCAGTCAAATCCCGCAGCAGACGCGCGCGCAGTACGTGGCGAAAAAGGCGACGCGGGGATCGAGGAGCTTCCGCTTTATCGCTTCCGATTACTACGACCACTCCCGTCCCGCGCGCTTCCCAAAATCCGAATCCTGCGACATCCGTGGGCCACAGAACAACTTGTCAAAACAGGAGACCCAGATCGCGCCGGCGCTCAGTATGTCACAAGTAAAGAAATTCACTCGACGATAGGCCTGGAATGGATCAAGGCGACTGAAAGAGGTTGATAACGTCATCCGTGACGATTGACCCAAAACGAGGCACTCGTGTAGCCCAAAGAACCAGTCGGGAAGATCCCCAACTCTTTCCCCACTCTAACCTCGATCCGTTCGGGGGCTAATGATGAAACTATGTACCTAGGGTAGGGGCACGGACCCGTCCAAAGAGCCCTACCCAAGGACATCCCTAGAAGAAGTCACCTTTCAATCGACTTGAAGGTATCTCACTCGACGGGTTCAAGACACTCGACCAAGAAGCTACCACTCGACCGTGAAGCCAACCACTCGACCGCCAGGAGATCTGAAGTCACTCCGCAGGCAAACGGTCGGCTATTAAGTAGTCTTTATGGTCATTGTAGCACTCTATTAGGGGCGTTACCAGTAACGCCCAACCTTAAATGTACCTTAAACCCTGCATTACTGAGGGCGGGAGAGGGCCGGCGAACTCTATATAAGCCACCCCCCTCCTCGGTATGAAGGGTTCGCACCCCTGTTATTCACACGCCAGTAATCCAGTCGACCGCCTCCGGGCACCGAGACGTAGGGTTGTTACTTCCTCTGCGAAGGGCCTGAACTCGTACATCTGGGTGTGTTTTACAACTTCCCAATAGCTGAGATCTAGCCTCTCCATACATACCCCCCTACATCACTGTCAGAGTTAGAACCACGACAGTCCCTTCTCATGTCACCAAGGGGGGGTGGTTTTATTGAGATCATAATTCTCATAGAAGGCGGAAATACTCAAGATCATCTTTCTTGCATGCATTCTGGTAGAAGTGAAATATTTCAGTAGCAGTCCAGCTTTATTTGGCAATGAATTTACTCTACAGTTTGTCCTGATGTTTGAATACCTCCAAACATGTGCTAATTCATAATTCTTGTCACTTCCAAGTTCCAAACGTGTGCATTAGCAGTCAAGTCCATTTTTTCAGTAGACTGGCATTTGATCACTGATAAATATGCTCTCTAATTTCTCAGGGACAACAAAGATCAAGAACCTGGACTCCAACATTGACTCCTTAAAGATAAAGCTCACCGAAGATGACCTGAAAGAAATTAGCAGCCAGATACGTGAAGAAGATGTGGCCGGCGGAAGGAGTTATACTTCCTTGGCGCATACCAACTGGAACCATGCAGACACACCAAAGAAGTAAAACTACAAAAAACGGTGATATGTGAGAATAAAACAGCCATGCCATCTACTCCCTATCTGTTATCATGCTAAATGGTGCTGCCTGTACCATGTGAATCTTCCGTGTTAAATAATGTACTGCAAATAACATGTGCACTCTCTCCAGGAATCATGTAAATTTCTGTCTGCATGCATAACAAAAGACCGAGACTGCAAGACGTGATTTGCTGTGCCCGTCCATCTTGGATAAAAATATTAGAAACATTTGATAAAGACTGAACGTTACAAATATGTGTGAAAGATTGAACGGATAGAATAGCAGCACCTGAATTTATAGGTGGAGTAGATTGTTTAAAGTTGCACGGATAAAATGGAGCTGCCTGAATATAGAGGTGTGGTAGAATGGCTTAGCGGCACATGTCCGGAATAAGCATTGAACATTCGAGGCCCATGGAGGTGCATGGTTCAGCCAAACATTTCTCACTGTATAATTTGCACAGCATCGACAGTAACTATGAGATCACAGGATCTTATCAGGTTTAGTGTCATGAACTCAAGCCTGATGCACATCTGATGCGGTCACCTCCACTGCTCCACATGCTCCAGGCTCTCTTCCATTAAAGTAGAGGAGCTGCATTAGCTTTCAGGGACAGATGGTTTCAGCCCAGTAACATAAGACCCCAAACTTCATTTAACGTACTTTTACAATCTCTTCATAACTGAACTTACACAAGGGCGGAATGCACTGCATAAGCAGTAGCTCTGGTGACAGGGGATAAGCTTACAATTGACGACACCAATGTTGATTATGGTAGGTGTTAAGCCAGTTGGTTAAGAGCCAATGGGGAGCTTTGACAACCCGAAGCAATAGGTGGCACTCGATCCATGTGAATGTCTTCGAAGGCATTTCAGTTGCGCCATTTCTGGACAACCAAGACTTCAGAGAAAGAGCAGGAGCATGGAAGACCAGAGGCTTTGCATCAACTCTGAATATTGAAGCTTTGAGAGTGATCATCCTTTCCTCACATTCATTTCATTCTTGCCCCTTTAACCTCTATTCTCCCCCACTGCAAGAGTAATCCAGGCCCATGCAACATTAGTTCTAATATTATCAAATGTCCAAACACTATCTGAATTTGCATAGATAAATACAGTACACAGTAAAAATTCAGTACGAATGTCACACGCATAGCTTCTTCAATGAACAGTTTGTGTTCATGTTGTTTCCACGAAGAAAATTCAGATACATGATAAACTTCATTACTTTATCCGTAGAGTAAGGCTGACTCGATTCGCCTTCACAAGAGAAAGGGAACTATCGCAATATTATACTGCCATAGAATAGCTAGCTTACCTTTACAAGAGCAGAATACTTCTGGTTGGATGCATCATATCTACAGATCTACTCATTTCTCAATGAATTTCTCCCATTCTTCCTTAAGGCTGTCTCTGTGCAGCCAACGACAAAACATTGAATGCCTCACCAGTGGCAACTTCGAATTGAATAAGCCGTCTACAGAGTGCTGCAAAGAGTTTCTAAATGTATCAGCATGCATAACAAAAAGTTGTTGAAAACAAGACCAAACTATGAGATGTGAAAAACACAACCTGCCAATTTACATATTCATCATAGAACATGACTGCAATTCATGCTTGGATGAAAGGGACAACCAAACAAAGTGCATACTGAAAGCGGTTGGAACATACATAGAAAAATCAGTCAAGGAAAGAGGTTGCTGTTTTTTCTTGCGATCAGAGGAAAGAGGTTCCTTGATAAACTTAAATCTCCAGAAATATTCAAAGAAAACAATATCTTGTTGGTGTTAATAAATTCATGTCTGCTGATAATAAATTTGGTTTAAAAAATGACATGTTAACAGTGACATTTCTGAGAAAACATTGTGTTTTTAAAACTGTGCAACCACGACTGTACAGACCAAAATGGAGAAAGGAGCAAAAGGTTGTGTTCATGACAACCTCAAGCTATTTTGACTCAAAGACTTTGTAAAATAATTGCATCCTCAAAAGCTTGGACATTTTGATATCAGATGAAATCAATGGACATTTAATATAAATAAGAACCATGAGTATAATATGGCACTGTAAGATTGTTGGGAGGAACTAGAAAGCAATGTAAAGGAAAATATTTTCCACAAATACGAAATTTCTCTGGGCTCCCAGAACGGAAAAATATCATGAGCCCTATCCCACACACACCTGGTTGCTCTCTTTAATGGCACACTAGAATAACGCTAGTGCAAAGCTATTATCGGTTTACATCTTGTAGGTGTAATATCTGATAGCCTCTCAGTGATCGCTCATGTAAGTAACACAAACACAGAGTAAAGTTCAAGCTTGTGGAGTTGAGTTCACTTGCAAGATTCTTCTCAAATGAAAGTTGAATCATATGAAGCCACACTAGCAAGCTGGGTTTGTATGAACTCCCGACAAACCTGTAGTCCGCTGATCCTGTGAAGTCAGTGGCTCATTATCAACTCCATCAGCCCCTGTAAATCATTACACACACCAGTGTTTTACCAGTAATCGCCGCAAGAGCACTGCCCATCTTCAAACCGATGGAATCTTGCTCTATCCCTGATTATAATCACTCGGCCATAGGCTTTAGATATGAGTTTTGCCACTACATGACAGTCCCCACATATTCGGAGATTTTTTATCACCCGCAAGGTCTCCCCAGGTGGCGTGGCAATCAGCCCAAATGCAATGGCCAGCTTTTCGCTATGATAAGACAATGCATACTGCTTCTCCTCCTCCCCGATGTCATGAAGCACATTACTTGTTTCTGGCTCATATCCCAGCTCACCTATTCTTGATACAATTTCCTCTAGCGCTCTGTAAATCTCCTGCAACCTTGGGTGCTCTTTATCACCATTAATGAACTTATGCATTACACCACTTATCTCTGTGTAGCTGAAGCCAGGTACTTTCCGCACATCATTGCTTCGCATGGTATCACGGACTCGACCAACATCTGCCCACCGTGCCTTTGACGCATATACATTAGAGAGGAGCACATAGTCACCATCAACATTTGAACCAAGCTCGGCAAGCTTTGTAGCAGCTAACTCCGCGAGCTCAACATCACCATGCGTCTTGGACGCACCCAGCAATGTCTGCCAGAGGACAATATCTGCAGGAAACGGCATGGACTTAATGGTATCATATGCCTCGGCAAGGCGGCCTGCACGGCCAAGAAGGTCCACAACAGTGCCGTAGTGCTTTACATTGGGAGGAACCCTCATGCCATGAAAAACCCTGAGGCCATCATCCACGAGCCCAGCATGGTTGCATCCGCACAACACAGCGATGTAGGTCACTTCGTCCGGCTCAATAGATGTCGGCATTTCATCAAACAACTTTAGTGCGTCACCCCCATGCCCATGCATGGAAATTGCTTGTATCGCAGTATTGTATGACACAAGTGTCCGGTCTTCTCGTTTGATGGAGTGGAACACTTCCAGCGCCCGGGCCAATGAACCGCACTTGGAGTACATGTCAATAAGTGCATTGCAAACACGAACATTGCCGCTGACGCCCATTTTGCGAACAAACTCATGCACATACAACCCGTCCTGTAACGAGCCAATCTGTGCACACGCAGAAAGCGCGGCAACCATGGTCACCTCATTGGGTGCCTCCCTTGGTGGCAGCTCCCGGAAGCTCCCTACCAGTCTGTGGAACAGCTTCAGGGCCAGGGTAGGCTCAGTCCCCTGAGCCAGCCCAGCAAGCAGTGCATTCCACGAGGCCACGTCGCGCACGGTCATTCCATCGAACACGTTCCGTGCGGACGCGAGGTCGTCGCATTTCGCATACGAGTCGACCAGCGTGGTGATCAGCCGGACGTCGGCCGTGCAGCCGAGGCAGAGGACGAGCGCGTGGAGCTGGAGGGTGGCGGGCCCGTCGGAGCACCGGGCGGAGGCCTTCAGCGCGAAGGAGAGGGAGAGCGCGTCGAGGCGGGGCCGCGGCGGGGACGGCGAGGGGAGGAGGCGGCCGGCGAGGAGGAGCAGCGAGCGCGCGGGGTGCGGGGAGGCGGCGAGGCCCCGGAGGGCGGCGTTGAGGTCGTTGGTGGCGGGGGACGGGAGGGAGCGGAGGAGGAGGAGGGCGTGCGGCAGCGCCGCGGCGTGCGCGGAGAGCGCGAGGCGGTCGAGGAAGCGGGCTCGGAGGGAGGGCTCAAAGTAGAGGCGGGCCGAGGTGATGAGCTGCGCGTGGAACTGCTTGTAGTGTGAGAACGTGGTCAGGCAAGGGAGGAAGGGCTCCAGGTGCAGCACCGCCGCCGCCGCCGTGGCCGTCGCCGGCGCGGGTGGCATTGTGGCTTGGGCGATGCTATGTGTCGCTCGTTGCGATCAGTTGCGCCTCACGTTGCTCACGACGCCAGCTCGAGCGCACGCGACTACATGGGCCTAAAAGCATCTACAGCCCCTAGTGGGCGCCTAAAATCATCGTCTAGGGTTAGCCCGCGCAAAAATAAAGTCTGGAGACGAGTTGGTCTCCAGTCGCCGGCCCAGGGCCATCTCCAGCCGCGTTTAATTTTTCCAAAAAAAATGTTCAGCGAAGTTTGATAAACATGGTTAAATTTCGGCAAACTTTGGCATATAATAGACATGTTCGCGACGCGCTACATAGCAAATATAACTAAAAAATATCGGTGAACATCGAGTAGTCGCCGTCATCGCCGCCGTCGTCGTCGGCGGCCTTCTCCTCCTTGACGCGGACGTCCCTGCTGGACTCTTGCCCGGCGTCGCCATGGCGGACTGGTGGCGGCGGCGGCGGCGCGTCATCGTCGTCGCTGTCGTCGAGGACGACGACTCCTCCTTCGTCGCGGCCCTGGCGACGCTGCTCGAAGCGCCGCAAGGCGGCGCACTGGCGCTCCCTCTCCATCTTCAGGAACTCCTCGTGCGCCTATTTCAGGGCCGCCTCGTCGTTGAGCTCCACGTCGCCGTGCTCCGTCTTCACGGCGGGGAGCCCCGGCTCCGTTTTCACTGGCGCGAGCCCCGGCTCCGTCTTTGTCTTGACGAAGCGCGGAGGAGCCGACGAGGAGGCACGCCGGCCGCCCTCGTTGATGACGATGCGGGCGCTGCGGGTGCACCGGCCGAGCGGTGTCTCCGCCACGGGCTCGGCCTCGACGCCGAGCAGCGCCGGAGAGCCGAGGGAGTGGGAAGAAGACCGTGAGGAGGAGTGCGAGGAGGAAGACGAGGAGGAGCCGAACCTCCTGGGCATCCATTGCCCGGCGCGTCGGCGGTGGGCGGGGGCGGCCGCCGGGGGAGGGTATGCCAGCTGCGGGTTGTTGCCGCCCTCAAGGTGCGTCAGCACGCCCTCGAGCGTGCAGCCGGGGACGCCCCACCACACGTGGCGCCCCTCGCTATTCTTCGTGCCGCCCACCACCCGCGCCGTTGGTGAACGCTAGCCTCTGCTCCTGACGGCGCTCGAAGTACGCCGCCCAAGCCGCGTGGTTGTCGGCGGTGTACTGGGGGAGGGCGAGCTGCTCGTCGGTGAGGGAGGCGCGCACGAGCTCTACCTCGGCGGCGAAGTAGGGGGCACGCGCCACGGCGTCGGGCAGCGGGGGAATGGGCACTCCCCCGTTGCTGAGCCTCCACCCCGTCGGCCCGACGCGCATGTCCGGCGGCGTCGGGATGTTGGCCTCGAACAGGAGCCATGACTCCTGTTCGTGGAGCGAGCGGCGGCCGAAGCCGTTGGCCGCCGCCTCGTCGCCGGGGAAATGTTCGGCCATCGTCGGGACTGTCGGAGTACTCGGAGGGCTCGGAGGCGGCGCACGGGAGAGGGAGGACTCGGCGGCGGCGCACGGGAGAGGGAGAGCTCGGCAGCTAGGGCTGGTGTGGCCAGAGGCAAGGGAGGCCACCGGTTTATATAGCCGCGCCTGTGTGTACGCATGCGAGGAAGGGGAGGTGTCGTCGCGCCGCCTTGTGACACGCCGCCCGTGAGGAATCAATGGCAAGGCTGACCGGCGGCGGCAGCGCGGCAGCCTTGGCATTGATTCCCGCGGAAACCGATGTGATGAGGGCGACGAAGCGCCGGTCTCGCTGACTCGGCGGGCCCGCGGCTGCTTCGCGCCAAAACAACTCGCCCCGGCGCCCCCGGGCGCTCCAGCGCGTCGGGTTCGGCCTGAGTCCGCTGGCGCTGATTTCGGCCCAGGCCAGCGAAAATCGGACTCCTGAGGACGCAACTGGATCGTTTTTTCGACGCCGGCGTGAAAAAATCGCCTGGAGAGGCCTTTCTAGGGCGCGGCTAGAGATGCTCTAACCCAGCGCCCCGCAAAGCAAGCTAGCGCACGGTAAGTTTTTTTTATTTTTTAATATATACTAGCACGTATGCCTGTGCGTAGCAACAGGAGAAAAAATAATATGCATTTAAAATTAGTTAGAATTATATGTGCAAGCAAAACTATATGTGCACGTGAAAACGAATATTTAGCTTCTCAGTTTTGCTGGGTGTGAAGTAATCAAGCCGATATTTTCCTATTCATTGATCCAGAGCATTTAAGAGTTTTTATTACGTGATCGTATATCAGAAAAGACCCATAAATTATTCAATTTGCTTTTCTTTTCAATCGAGGAGATTTAAGGTATGAAGTTCCTGAATATTGTAGAAAACATGAACTGTTTTAAAAATCCTGAACAGGTTTTTGAAATTTATTTACACTTTTAGAAAAATGCGAACAAAATTTGAAATAGGAACATCTTTTAAAATTCACAATTTTTTTTGAAAACCCTAACTTTTTATAAAAACATGAAAATTATTTGAATTTGTGAACATTTTATGAAATGGAAACATGTATTGAAAATTCATAACATTTTTTTAAATGTGTATCTTTTATACGCGAGCATTACTTTAAATTGTTACAATTTCACTGAACGAAGAATATTTTTCGAATTTGGAGCATTTTTTAAAATGCCATTTTTTTAGAAATCTCGAACAATATTACAAAACTTTTTTTGAAAAAATGGGAAACTCTTTACAAGTTCCAAATATTTTTCAAAAAAAAATGGAATTCTGAACATTTTCGAATTTTTTTATATTTTTGAAATTTTGTTCGTTTTTTGAGAATTTTGAATTTCTGAAATAAATATTATAAGAAAAATAAACTTAGAAGGGAAAAAGAGGTAGGGGAAGGAGAATAATAATAGAAGTAGAACACAAAAGGCAACAAAAAATTGGAATTCTGGACATTTTCCAAAAAAATATTTTTTGAAATTCTGAACATTTGTTGAGAATTTTGAATTTATGAAATATATTCTATAAAGAAAATAAACTTGGAAGGGGAAAAATAGGTAGGGGAAGGAGAATAAAAATAGAAGTAAAACACAGAAACAAAGTAAAATGGGCCAGCTCATTATTGGCTGTCCTATGCGAAGTTCCAACTATTTGTCGCCTGTGCGGAAAATAAAACAATTTCAGCTGTGTGGTTAGAAAAATAACTATGCTGGCTTCGCTGGGCCATAGTGCGTGGCCCACGTATGAAATTCTGGAAAAGACTTTCTATCTAGCAGACAAACGTATAAGAATTCAGTACCACCTCGAATAGAAAAAATTCTTTTTGGCAGTGACCGGATGAAAAAATTGATGAAATGCACATTGTTTTATTATTATGTAGGGGGTATAAATAGATATAGATTCGGTCTTTTTAGTTGGTCTTTTTTACCTTCGGTTTCTTGTTTTCAGTGGTATCATTTCAATTAAAAAAATAAAAAGTGTCCGTGCATTACAGAAATGTGCACAAAATGAAAAATTGATCACGAATTTGAAAAATATTCAGAAATTTCAAAAAAACACGAATTCTGGAAATGTTCAGGATTTCGCAATATGTCCACGAATTCAAAAAATGTTCACGAATTTGAAAATGTATACAATTTTGTAAATGCCATTGAATCCAAAAAATCACGAATTCAAAAAAAATCATAATTTGAAAGTGTCCCTGAATTAGAAAAAGCATGAATCTTAAAATGTTTGCTAATTAAAAAATCATGAATTTGAAAAAGGTTTGTTGGAGAAGATTTCGACAGATCCCTCGTAAGGGTGTGCTGGCGTGGCGATTAGGTCAGAGGGGAAACAGGAGATAGGTTTACGCAGTTTCAAATCTCATTACAAGGTGAATTCCTACCCCTGCTCCTGTATATTGCGATTGGGGTGTACAAAGTACAAATAATACCAAGGGATTCTAATGTGTTTTATCAACCACCTCGGCGCACCATCGAAACCTTAGTCAAAGCGGCACCGACGTAGTAGTAGAAAAAAAATGAGAAACAACACACAAAATCTCTAACCAGAAGAATCTGAAAAACCGTAAAAAGATCACAACCAGCCGTGCTTGAGTTGTACACCCTTTTCTTTAGAGTTACACTTGTAAATTTCTAGCATGCTGTAAAAATAATAAAAGAGGACGGAGCGTCGACCCGTTGGCTGGGCAGCTGAGGTTGCTGCCAGCACACCTGAGTTCGAGTCTCAGCACGAACGCGCGGTGCTCACGAAGTTTCTTCTATAAAGAAAAGCTAACAAGGGTTAGTCCTTGGGCTAGTCTCATTTAAAAAAAAACAGGTTAAAGAATCCCTTGCGGCCTAGTCTTCTTACTTAGTACAATAATTAATTGTGACGGTTGATAAGATACAAGAGTAATTACTAGGATGCATCTGTACATCATTGTTTCCCCATTTTTTTTGACGAACTTTGTTTCCCCATTCTGGCATGCCATGACTTCTTAGGCAACACTTATTACTAAAATTAAATTCTTTCACTAATCCGAATTTCTTCAAAAAATTACTAGAAGAACTATATTTTTCATTAGAGCATTACTATGTGCATAAATTATTTGTCGCTCCAAGCCTTTGTATTATATCCATCATAAAATCACAAATTAACAGTCGACAACCGATATGCGAGTACGTAGTACTATGTATAAATAGAGCGAGATCTTGAGCAGAGAGGTAAAATCATATATCTACTCTAGGAATGGCCACTAGCCCAACCCCGCAAAGGCCGAGCAAAGCTGACCCGCCATTGCCACTTCGGCAACGCCTGCTCCAAGCAAAGTCATGTGGGAAGGAAGGAGGTGGTGCAGAAATGCAGTCTGTGAAGTTCCTCCTCAAACAAAGAAAATTGGAAATTGTATAGATGAGGAGAGGTTTGAGGTAGGGGGCATTTGCCCCCGCCCCCTCCATGCTCTTTATCTTGTACCTATACTAGTTGGATGCCCGTGCATTGCCACGGAATAAAAATATGTTTTTAGATGACATAAATATGTTTTTTTAAGAATAAAACATGTGTTGCTACTTTTGAAATGATGTTTGTACAATAA